CCTCAGAGCTTTAACTTCTGAACAGCAACATACAAGGTGAAAACCACTTTTTTAAAAACAATAAACACTGGGCAGCCGAGGTGGCTCGTGGTTTAGCACCACCTTCCGCCCAGGGCGTGATCCTGGAGACCCGGGATGGAGTCCCACGTCGGGCTCCCTGCATGGAGCCTGCTTCCCCCTCTGCCTGTGTCTCTGCCTCTCTCTGTCATGAATAAATAAATTAAAAATCTTTAAAAAAAAAAAAAACAATAAACACAACTTGGAATGACCAACAAAAATGGTGTAGGATCATATGCTATGTTATAGAATTCAGATACTAGTTAAGTCATTTCAGTTTCCTTCCAGATGTATCTTTCATATGCATAAATAGCACACACGTTATCTTTCAAATATACACAGTGTATGTACATGTACCTTTCCTGTGTACTCACAGCACATGTATACGTACCTTTCTTGTATACTCACAGCATGTGTATATGTATCTTTCACATATACACACAGCACATGTGTATGTACCATTCATGTGTTCTCAAAGCACATGCATATGGACCTTTTGCATGTAGGTACAGCATGTGTACATGTATCTTTTGTATGAACAGCAAATTTGTATATATCTTTCTTATGTACATATAGCACATGTATGTTTCATTCACATGCATATACAGTACAGGTATTGTTCATCTGTATATATGATACATTTTGTTTCATTAAGAAACCAAACCACCAAAAAGAAAAACCACCTCAAACTGAAGTTTTTCCCCTTATATTCAATAACCTCAAAAAGAAATAGAAGTGACAACCTAATATTAAAGATCTCAAAACTACCAATTCCATCATCACTCCCAAAGTTGAAACAGTCAAAGCTCACAGCATTGACTAGTTTCCCAAAGCTACCCATTTCTCTGAGTACCTAAAATACTCCCCTCCCTTTACCCTTCACTGCACTTTGTTAGTATCTCCCCTTTACCATATATAGTAGGCCTTGTAGGAGACTTAAAATGCAAAGCTATATTTCTGGGAACACTTAAATACATTACATGGCAGGTAGTAACACTGCCCCCAGAAGCTTTATGAATTGTTCTCAGTAACCCTTTAACACTATACAACCTTAAAGTATTTCAATATTTCATGTCTCAGGGATCCCTGGGTGGCGCAGCGGTTTGGCGCCTGCCTTTGGCCCAGGGTGTGATCCTGGAGACCCGGGATCGAATCCCACGTCGGGCTCCCGGTGCATGGAGCCTGCTTCTCCCTCTGCCTGTGTCTCTGCCTCTCACTCTCTCTCTCTGTGTGACTATCATAAATAAATAAAAATTTATTAAAAAAAATATTTCATGTCTCAAAGGATACCTTCAGTAAAATTTTAACTTTCTTACAATTCTTATAACTATAATTCTTATAATTTCTTACAATTTCTTAAAATTTTTTAAAATAATCTGCATCATATACAGAAGTTAAATCTCAGTTATCTGGACTGATGAATCAAACTCAATTTCAAAGCACTCTACCTACCAAACAAATTTTTACTATTTTGGGAAAAAATTTAAATCCCTTTAAAAAGTGAAAAACAAAAAAATCTTCAAAGTAAAATAAAAAAATCTATTCAATTTAAGTACTCCGCATAATCAATACTTGTAATTAGGCCACATTTATCACCTATGAACATGTCAAATTTTTAAATAAACTCCTATCATCATTAAAAAATAGAGAAATCATTTATTAAAAATAAAGTATGCACAGGCACTGGGCCTGGCATCAAATTAACGCTAATTTAAAACAAGAATATGGAAAGGTTTTTTGGTTAAAAAGATGCTCAAATGGGACAAAAATGATAATGGGGAACAGGGGAAGAAAAGGATGATAAAGAAATAGCTAGAGAGTAGGAAAGAAAGTGCATGTCATTGGTCTGCTAAGGCATGTATGTGAAGTTATGAAGGAGCATACAGTCCGCCTCAGAGCAGTCTGCAGCTTTTTCTACCTAGTAGACAGGATCTCATTCCTTCTTCACCGTCTCCCTAAACTAAGAAATGATGATTTGCTTCTATATATTGGTAAACACGAAATGACTATAAAATAAAGGAAAAATCATCAACTTTATATATTCTTGATTATAATTTAAGTAAACTTTAAAACACAATTAATATTCCTCTGTTTTAGGACAACTTTTCCTGGAAAAAAAAAAATTGCAAGAAGTCAAAACTCAACTTTCTGATTCTACCTACAGTAAAAAAAAAAAAAAAAAATACAGCTCTATTCTAATCTAAAAAGCAGATGACAAACTTTTTATCTTTAGTCATTATGTTTGTCTCCCAAAGACCAGATAACAACTTTAAAATGAAAATATTTTCTGCTAAAAGAAAATGACACGAGATCAATTTTTGCAAGGGACAACTCAAGCACTGACCCCTCATTATGTCATCAACTCTAACTTCAGCGAGATAGTCATTTGCCAAATATGTAGCAAATATCAAATTCTTAGTTTATTAATCATTTAGGCTCTCTGACCTGCAGACATATTACTTCACGTCCCAAAGCCATCAGCTAAATGAAAAGGTTATTAACCAGGTAGTCACTACTTGTTAAATTATCACAAAGCTAAAAGCAAAGTCTGTCTTAAATGGTACTTTTGAATGTCAATTAAAAATAAGAGAATCTCGGGCAGCCCCGGTGGCGCAGCGGTTTAGCGCCGCCTGCAGCCCAGGGCGTGATCCTGGAGACCCTGGATGGAGTCCCACATCAGGCTCTCTGTGTGGAGCCTGCTTCTCCCTCTGCCTGTGTCTCTGCCTCTCTCTCTCTGTCTCTATGAATAAATAAATAAAATCTTTAAAAAAATAATAATAATAAGAGAATCTCTGTTAAGTCTATAAACAAATTATGAGTCATACGTTATCTTCCCAGTACCAAATTTCCTGGTCTGTGTCCTTCTTCCTCCAATTAGTGAGGCACCTGGGCCAGCCTCTTGTCTAGTAAGGAGCCCATTTCCTATGTAGTTTGCATGTGTCTACTAGGTACCGTTCTACTCACTAACAATTATTTCTAAAAGCAACTGGTCAAAAATTATTTTTTAAATATCCACTTGGAGTTTTTATAAAATAAAACAATGCTCTCATACAAAATACAAGCTAAAAATAATTATATATTAACATAGGTTCAAACAGAAAACGTGATCTTATATAAACCACTCCAAATTCTTTTAATTATATTTATAATTTAAAATATATATTTCTCTTATATTTTAAATGTTTTATTCTTATAACAACAGAAGTCTTCCAAGTCAGAACTGATTGTTCTAACCTGGTATAATCTAAATAATCAACTTCAGCATCAAAAAATTAGTTCACCAGATTTGCAATCAGGGATGAAAATTCTCATGTTTCACTATAGGGCCTAATTACTGCAAAATGCAGTTTAGGACAGGTGGTAACAGTGCTACAACTCACAATGCAATTACGATGATATCTTTTTTACTAAATAGACATAAGATTAGTCATTTAAATAAACACATAGCAACTGTTTACAGTGATGGAGATAAGAAACTAACAACCAGGACACTTGGGTAGTTCAGTGGTTGAGCAGCTGCCTTCGGCTCAGGGAGTGATCCAGGGGTCCTGGGATGAAGTCCCGCATCAGGCTCCCACACTTCCTCTGTCTTCTCCCTCTATGTCTCTGCCTCTCTGTGTCTATCATGAATAAATAACTAAAATCTATTAAAAAAAAAGAAGAAACTAACAACCAATTTGAAAAGAAAGGAAAAGGCAGGAATAAGAAAGAAGGAAGAAAATGATTAAGAACCTGAATTTGAGGGTGCCTAGGTAGCTCATTTGGTTAAGTGGCCAGCTCTTGATTTTGGCTCTGGTCATGATCTCAGGGGTCCCAGGATTGAGCCCCACGTCCAACTCCACACTCAGCTGGGAAGTCAGCTTGAGGATTCTCTAATAAATAAATAAATCTTTAAAAAAAGAACCTGAATCTCCAAGTCTGACAGAAAAAAAAAGACAACTGGCACTAGGACTTCCTACAACATCACCAATATCAAATCAAAAAAAATCTAGCTCTGGCAAAAAAAAAAAGAGCAGATAAAATATACTATCGGGAAGATTAAGTAAGCAGAAAGGCCACGGAAAATATCTTGGGTTTTGAAATGAAACATCTGGGGAACTCTGCATCAGATACGCAAGTAAAATGCTTTTCCATCTCAGTAAAAGCATAACTTGTGAGGCTGAATGGTTTTTATAAACATGAAGCCCGTGTGTAAGACAACAGCATGTGTGCACGCACACATATGTGGATGCTGGGGAATGGTGAGTGCGCACACAAAGGGAGCTAATCACAAAAAAAAAAAGTTCAGGATTAACAAAAAGTAAAAGAAATTATGAAGAAAAATTATGAGTCTGTTATTTATCTTAATTTAGTCCTAAAGTCTCCTCAGACCTCATTACTAAAATTTTAGGTTTTTTGACATCACTACACACCCAGCAGTAAGAAAGCAATCTGCTTTCACAAAAGTGGGTACAAAATTTTCCAAAATCATTATCAGTGACTTTCCCTTGTCACAATAAGTGTTTTTTTTAAACAAAAACTATTAATAAGTGTTGATAAATATTTTGCCTCTACAAAGTATGCACTCACCATCCTTTTGCTCAGATACAGCTGAAAATAATAAGAATCCAGAACATCTTTATGAATATTTAAATTACTTTAAAATGGAAAATTGAAACTACAATAAACATATTCTAAACTGCTACTATGTTCCAGAGATAAGCCATCCTATTTAGAAGAGAGTAACACAAAGAAACACTAATGTGCATCTTCTGTCTGTGCCCAACAGCAAATAATTATAATTTTGCTTAAATATTATATATTAACATTATCTAGTTTTAAAATTGAAAGGGTTTTAATATTTTCATCATATTTTAAATTACTCTAGATTCCATTTATATCATGCCTGGTAGCAATATAACTCAGGGCTACCACAATAAAATAATCTTTTATGATCAACTTACACTACAGTTTTCGGGTGGAACTAGAAGTTGAGTAATCTCGCCACCATGCACACAGAAGATATGTTTCATTTCTCCAGAAAATATGTCCCAAATTATGACTGAAAAATCCACACCTCCAGATATCAGATATCTTTGATCATAACGAGCTGAGACCTGATGAGGATATAGCAAACATGTGACTTTGTTCCGATGACCGCGGAGTGTTCTGTGAGGTGGCCAACCTGTGAATGAGGTTTTGGATTTAAAATGGGAAAACAAAAGTCTTACAAAGCTTCAACAAATAAATGTAAACATGAGTTATCAGAAGAGATATAAATTTTATCATAGAAAAAACTTCTAATTTTATCTTGTAAAATAACTGTAATACACTAGGTACTAGCCACATGAGATCACTGAGCATTTGATGTAGCTAGTCCAGACTCATATGTGCTATAAAATATATAGATTTCAGAAATTAAGCACAAAAAAAGTAATGTAAAATATCTCCTTTGTAATATTTTATAGTGATTGCAACTGATTTTATATTATAAAATTGAAATTTTATTCAATTTTTACGAGTTGAAAATAGTTTTGCTATATTAAGTAAAACATTATTAAAATTAATTTCATCTGCTCCATTTTTACTTTATTAACATGAATATAGAAATTCACACATTGTTACATATACAAATTTCTACTGAACAGCACTATTCTAAAAGATTGGCAGTATTGTTGATATAGTTACTCAGTAAGCTATAGAGATAACTAGTGATAAACGAAGCTGTTAACATATACCAAGAGGTAAACTCAGACTCTTCTATATATAGTCATCACATGGTATATATCCCAATAGATATTAACTAACTTTGTCTTACCCGCACATCAAAAAATTCTACCATTTCTAACACACTAACAACTAAGCTGATACACTGTACTTGTTACAAAAAAAAAGGGCAAATATTAGCAGTATCACAATTATAGGTTACAGAGTTCTCTAAACACTTCAGACATCTTCAGCATACCTCTTCGGAGCATGTGTTCCCCCTGCAGCAGCTGTACTATGGCTGTCTGTGTGGCAGGTACAATAATGATGCTTCCATCCTCACGGCCACAGACAAGTCGTCCATGTGCTGGTATGTACACACTTGCAGTTACTTTAAGAGGCTCATTACTATTGGGAATCACACTCAGCTGATCGATAATTCCAGCAGGACAAGGATTCAGTTTATCAAATGCTTCTTGCAAACTAATAGAAGTTGTCATTTTCAGTTCTGTGGAGGTTTTGTTTTGTATTAGAAAAAAAAAATTTGTTCATGTTAGAAAAAAATTAAACATTTAATGTTTAATTAAATACATTATTATTATACATTAAAATTTTAATGTATTAACACATTAAAATAAATGTACTTATGGTTGATTCAGTCATATATACTAGAGAATAACTGTCACAAACTATAATTCTAAGAATAAAATGACATATGTACATTATGGATTTATTATGCAATGGTTAGTATTTAGGTTGCTAAATTAAAAGAATTAAGAAATTGCTGCACATGATTTATTACTATCTTCTTTACCTTCCTGTTTATCAGGTGTGTCTGACAGGTTCCAAATACTCAATCTTCCTGAAGAATCACCTTGAATTAATAGTTTATGGAGGTGTTCCTTGCATCCATAGAAGAACCGAGTAATAGGAGGACAAATTAGCAACTGCCAAAAAAAAAAAAGTTCAAATATTTTTAGCTGTCCTATTTTTTTTTTTTTTTTTTGCAGGTAATCTCTATACCAACATGGAGCTTGAAACACATGATCCCAAGATCAAGAATCACATGCTCTACCAATTGAGCCAGCCAGGAGCCCCCATGCTGTCTTTTTAATCAAAATATTTCATATATTAACATTTTTTTCAGATAAGGATGTTAAGTACTTTGCCTCAGTATCAGAATAAAAAACAATATTTTAATGTAATTGTATAGCATTAATTACATTAATGTCAGCTAACATTCAAATCCAGTAAAATACAAACATGCAACAAAATGAAAACTATATTATAGTCCTTCTCTGGAATTAGTATTTATATTCTTTTTTCTCTACTTCAGAAAAACTAAATATTCATCACAACCACTCTTTACCAAAAAGAAGTCTCCACTTTAAAGGTCAAAAGTAGAGAACTCACTAATCCTAGTTTTTTTGCCCATTCCTGCTTAGTCACTAAGAGTAGCAGCAAATTAAACTACCAAGATTGTCCAAGACTCCATTTTTTTAAGTAGTATATTTTCAACTCATAGCATGACATTTTACTTGGTCACATTTACATAATCAATTGGAACCTAGCCTGATATGTTAACTATAAACCACTAGGAACAAAAAACCATTCATTAGCCTCTTGTGTATACTTTTTTTAAAACAAATGATTTTTCTGCTTAAGATCTTATGCCTTCAGTGATATCACTTATTTGAAAATACTAAATAGGGGTGGGCTCATAAAATTGAAGTTTAGATTATCAATTCACAAATACTTGAATATTAAAGCAGAGAATCTTATCCTGAAAAGTAATAAAAAATAATATCATTTTTGACAATTATAATTAACAATTGGGATGCCTGAGTGGCTCAGCGTTTGGGTGCCTGCCTTCGGCTCAGGACATGATCCTGGGTCTAGGATCGAGTCCCACATCGGGCTCCTTGTGGGCAGTCTGCTTCTTGCTCTGCCTGTGTCTCTGCCTCTGTGTCTCTCATGATTAAATAAATAAAATCTTAAAATAATAATAATAATAATCTAATTACTGTATTTGGTGGTGTTTCCGAAAAATCACTCGCCTATAGAGACTATATACATTATGCATAATCAATTTTGTGATTTAACTGAAGTCAGAATATTACTGAATATTGTAACTGATAAACAATATGCCTAACATGGAAAAGTTGCTACAGCAGCTATAATAACCAATATACCATATTCCAAAGTGTATCTCACACCACATAATACATGTATGTATCTTAACTTAAAACATAGTAGGGAACTGGTATTTTAAAAACATAATATGTACTTTGTTTTATCTAAGTTTTTTTTTTAAGATTTTTAAAATTTAATTATTAATGAGAAACACAGAGAGAGAGAGAGAGAGAGAGAGGCAGAGACACAGGCAGAGGGAGAAGCAGGCTCCATCCAGGAAGCCTGACGTAGGACTCGATCCTGGGTCTCCAGGATCGTGCCCTGGGCTGAAGGCAGGCACTAAACCGCTGAGCCACCCGGGCTGCCGCTTATCTATGTTTTTTATACCAGTCATCACCCTTTAGTTTACCTGGAAATGATTGGTTGGAGAGAAGTATGTGTTCAAGTTAGGAAAATAAAGGACAGGTTACAGAGCATCTTAACCATACATAAATGTATAAATTCTGTAAATTCAAAATATTAAAAAAAAAAACTCCCTTTCCCTCATCATCCCTTCACATAAAGATGGAACAAAATGTTCAAAATGAAAAAGCTGTGCAAACCCAGAATATAAGTAAAGGAAACTTAGTCCTTAATGTTCAAAAAATATAGAGGTAAAAACCTAGTACTCACAGTGCCATTATATTTCAACTCTAAATTGATATTAGTAGTTTTAGAAGTCATAATATACTTTGGTTTTTATATAGGAAAAATTTTTTATTTTTAATGCCTAAACATTTAAGATACTGTATGATCTTGAGGAGATACTGTAATGCCTTATCGAAGTAATGAACTACTATCATTCAGTAGTCTATGATTATCTTTGTCCTCCCAAAATTATACCATGTCACTATGTTTATAATCACATGATAGCATAAATCAATACCATTAAATTATACCATCAATATGAATTCTATCAAAAAGTCATTCCCACTATGTAATCACTAAAAGATCATCTATATCCTCAGAGAAACGAGAACACTCAAAGTATATGATTAAGATATGTACATTTTACAATTGTGCTTATAACTAACCACGTCAAATTATTTTATGACATTTAACAGAGCAACCTGAATCTTTCAAATTCTTAGCTAAGAAGAGCCACCGATGAATGTAGTTATGAAAAAATTTTCAGTGTCACTATCAATTATAAATAATACCTGAAGAAGTTTACCTCTTTATCTGTTCTATCCAAGAGGCTATGTTGTACAGGAGGAATTAAATTTTCAACCGCTTTCCCTACATCACTGCGGAATGAATCACTAGCTGGGAGGCAACTGAAAATGAGAAAAACATAACATTCAATTAAAATACTGGCATTAAATATTTTACCTGATGAGGATTTTTAGACAATGAACAAAATATGGATTTTCAAATTACAGTTAATTTAATGTAGGCATTAATGTCATAAAAATGCCCCACTTCAAATAAAGATCCACCTAATTTTTGTACTTGGTAGTTAAAATGGAATTATAAATCTAACTTAAGAAATTCTAAAGTTTTTTTTACTTAAATCATTTGTAGTTTAAACATCATCATACATTTAAGTCATACTCTGAATTCAGACTCTTGCTTTATTTAAAGTCTTAACTTATTACTGACTGAATACCTGGCAGGTAGTTTGTAAATATAACTTTGCCCATTTTCAGTCCAAATGATTACTTTATCTGCTGATACAAAGTCACCTCCAGTCCACGTCTGTCCATTTTCACTAGGACCTGAACACAGCAAGGAATAGTCTCCAGCATCAAATACCTACAAGGAACAAGAAATGCACAATCTAATCCATGTTGGTGTCATTTAAATAAGATACAGTGACCTTTAAACTAAAAACAAGGGTAGCCTGGGTGGCTCAGTCAGTTAAGCATCTACCTTTGGCTCAGGTCATGATTCCAGGGTCCTGAGATCGAGTCCAACAACAGGCTCCCTGCTCCGCAGGAAGTCTGCTTCTCCCCCTCCCCCCTGCTCATGCTCCCTCTCTTGCTCTCTCTCTCTGAAATAAATAAAATCTTTAAAAAAAATAAACTAAAAACAACACAAAACTTCTGGGAATATATTTAACAAACTCAGGCCTTTAAAATTCACTACGTCAAGTTAAAGGCATTGTGTTAGTGAGCCTTGGGGCACAGTCACTTTCACCAGGGAAAACACAACTAGGTCCCCAGCTGTGTGCCTCTCAACAGTCAGACGTATGACAAGTGGAGCAGGCATGGTGCCTTGCATAGAGCCAGGGAATCTTTAGCCTTTCTTATCTAAAGGTAGGAATGTTCCATTATGGAATTCCAAGTAATAGGGAACCAGCCTCTAGAATGCATGGTTAGGACTCCTGTTTTATTTCTGTGTTCAGTAACAATATTTTAAATACACTAAGATATCAGAGTATCTCTCTATTAATACAGGAGTTACTTACTTTATTTCATCCAGGGGATGAAGTAGCATAAATAGGAAGTTAAAAGACTCAGCTTTATTATTTAATAATTCTCACATATAGAAGTCAAGTCCTTCACCCCTCCCACACACACACAAAAAAAAAAAAGTCCCTAAAATTTCATCAGCAACCCAGGCCATCTGGAGCTTTTCATTTGTAAGGCACACTAAAGTTTACAAAGTGCCTTTACATTGTTATCTCATATGAGTCTCAGAAGGACTGCAGGAGGTAGGCATTGCTGTTCCATTTTACAGACAGCAAACTGACACAAATACACAAAAAATTACATCACCAGCTCAAGGCTGTATGTCCAGCAAGCACTAGAGCTAGGACTAAAAACCCTGACCTAATAATTCCTATAAGAATTTCAACCATTTTCAATAATTGGTAAAAGTATATTCTACAGTGCTAAAAAATTTCCCCAGGAGGAATGAGTAAATCAGTGGCCCAGATTTTTTATTTCAGTTTTTTTTTAAATAAAAGGCAATCAAATTGCTTATACAAAGCCTTTCTGAAATTAAAACAAATCCTAGTCGAATTTACCATGATTTGCTATATTTATCATTTACAACATTAACACTACAAGAATAGCCAAGACAAGTCTAAGAAAGAATGGAGACCACCCTCCAGACTTATTATCTATTGAATATTCTTATTCAAAACTATGAATAATTGGACAGCTCGGCTGGCTCAGAGGTTTAGTGCCTGCCTTCGGCCCAGGGCGTGATCCTGGAGACCCAGGATCGAGTCCCACGTCAGGCTTCCTGCGTAGAGCCTGCTTCTCCCTCTGCCTGTGTCTCTGCCTCTCTCTCTGTGTCTCTATGTCTCTCATGCATAAATAAATTTTTAAAAATCTTAAAAAAAACTATGAATAGTTATCTATGAAAGCAATATTATCTATGAAAACAATTATATTATCTATGAAAACAAATTATAAAGCTACAGAAATAAAATAATACAGTACTGATGCATAAACAAAAAACCAGTTAAGTCCAGAAACAGATTCCAGTAATTATAGAAACACAACATATAATAAAGGCACAACAATAAAAAAAAAAAGAATTATTCAACAAATTGCATCAGGAACTGGGGTTCCTCTGGAATAAAAATAACACTGGATCTACATCTTGCAATTTATACAAAATAAATTCCAGAGTAAATATTCAAAGGTATATAAAGCACAGTTATACAAATATTAGGAAAAATGAAATTTTTAAAAAAATCTCTGCTTGTGATGAGCCCTTTACAACATGTCACAAACTGTTAGAAACCATAAAAGATAACCACATTAGAATAAAAAACTTCTTTTCTGCAGTATTTGGAGAAATCATTCTATTGAGTTACTATCTTAGTGTTGTTTTACGGTGCATTTCCATGATGATTAATGAAGCTGAGCACCTTTCTATACATTTATCAGCCACTGGCTTTCTTCTTTTGTGAAACATTTTTGTCCATTTCCCTACTAGACTGACTTATTGTTCTGTTCTCACATGAATACCAAATGCTTATTATGAACACACAAGAAACTGGTATTAAATAGTGCCCCTGGAGAGGGGAAGGAAAAAAACCAGGGGGGAAAAAAGATGCATACTTTTCACTGTGTCCTCTTGCACTCTGATTTTATTACTATTTTCATGTACTTTAAATTTTAAGACAAAGGAAGGATCCTACATAGCTCACTGTTAACAGGAGCTGCTAGCGTCTCCTCTCTAATCTCATTCCAAAACAGCAGCAGTGGCAAGGATAAGGTTTAAGGTGTCCCCTGGTCCGCCCGTCACTACAAAGCCCATCCCCTTTGAGGTGGTATCAGGTGGAAGTACAGAGCATAGCTGCTGCAGTCAGGCTGCCAGAGCTGTAGCCCAGAAACTCCACTACACCCTGGAGAACTTCAGTCGAGCTTTCCGTGTCCCCTATAGTGCAGATGTCTCATCTGCAAAATGAGGAAAGTAATAGCTCCTACTTCGGCCAGCAGCTTCTAAGACTGCTCCTTCTTTAACCCTGTCCCCTGAATATGGTGGGATGTTGTGACTTTCTAGACTAAGAAATACGGGAGAAGTGATGAGACTGCAGTCCCAAGAGTAGGTGGGCCTAGGCTACAACTTCTCTTGCTCACTTACTACTCTGAGGAAACACAGTTTCCATGCTGTGAGAGGCCCACATGACAAGGAACTAATTCTCCAGCCAAGAGTCACCTGTCAACCACGCAGAAACACCCTAGGTGACCCCAACCAGAGTCCTGGCTCACATCTTGACAGTAACCTGTGGGAGACCCTGAGCCAGAGATGCCCCACTAGGCCATGCCCGGATGCCCCACAGCTGAGCTTGTGGTACAGGAACCAGAGAGGAACTGATTCATGTTTATTGTTTTAAACTGTTCAATTTTGGAGTAATCTATTATGCAGGATTAGGTAACTAATATATCTCCCTTCAGAGAGTGGTGAGGATTAAAAGAAATAATACTTAGAAAGCTTTGAAATATATTCTAAGAACAAGTGGTGAAAACATGCTGGTTCTTTTTTGTGTTATGGAAACACTGAAGTCTGGCAATGTGGAAGTAATATACTTCCGTCATTAGCTTTGAAATGATGTAGGAAGACCTTCCCAAATCCAAGAACTCAGAACAGAATGGCAATTGGGAATAACAACAAGCTACAAGGACAATCAGCCTGCAGAAAACTCACCACCTCTACTTATGTTGTACTGAGGAAATGATGACTGAAACAGTAGCAAAAGGGAGAAATTAAGATAAATAGACTAATATTCATTAACTAAATCATTCCATAACCCAGAAAAAAGGATAACTATATAGCCAAATCCCAACACCTAAAAATTTGATATCAAAATCACACATGAATTCCAAAGTGTTAAATATTCTTACACCAAGCTCTTCCTTACAATTATCTTTGGAAGTCTGATAAACCACCACCTTAAAGGGTAAAAATACAGCTTCTTACTTAGGTAGTTATCTTACCCTCCAATATTTGGAGCACACAACCAAAAGTGACCTTTGTGTGAATGCACAAAAAGAAATGCTTTGGCAATTCTGACAATAAATTGGTTTGGACTCCTCCTCAAATATTGGCTCAGTATCCTGAAAAGAGAAAGATTTATAAAATTTTAGGAATGGCTTGGTTGTTGATTAAAATTATCATACAATGATTAAAAAAATAAAATGAAAAACATCACTTGATACACTCATCATTTTAGCATATCATATAAGAACCAAGGTAATAAAAAGCAGCAAAAAAAAATTCTAAAAACAGGGCAGCCCCAGTGGCACAGCGGTTTGGCGCCGCCTGCAGCTGGGGGCGTGATCTGGAGACCTGGGATTGAGTCCCACATCGGGCTCCCTGCATGGAGCCTGCTTCTCCCTCTGCCTGTGTCTCTGCCTCTCTCTCTGTCTCTCTCTCTGTGTTGCTCATGAATAAATAAATAAAATCTTTAAAAAATAAAAAAATAAATAAAATAAAATAAAATAAAATATAAAATATAAAATAAAATAAAACAAAATAAAATAAAATAAAATAAAATATAAAATAATAAAATATATAATAAAATAAAACAAAACAAAACAAAACAAAATAAAATCATCCTGGCACAATGTCTTTGCTACAAAGCTACTCAATAGTAAAATGCTGATGAGAATCAGTGTCAATACTGTGGCAGTAACAGATGATAAAGGTTTGAGTCAATCCTAAATTCTGTATCTGTATGTTCTTTTAGGTAAAAAAACAAACAAAAAAAAAAACACCTGATCAATTCCTCCAGGTCCTCCCAAATTCAGTATGTAAAAATTCACTAGCTGAAGAGATTAGCATCAATACTGTCAGAATATTGATCTGCTGTTCCTATCGACAGAGTTACAAGGAATTCAAGCACAAAGAACAGAGAGAGAACTAAAATTGGCTTTATATAGTTTTTGTATTGGTTTGTGTTGGTTTTCTTTTCCCTCAAGCAAACTATCTTTTAACTTTAATAGAGGCAACTGAGGAAAATCCCAGCTCTTCTGTTTCTCTACTTTACATCCTGTACAGCATGTTTCTCTATTTCATATCCTCGACAGATTAGATGTCTGCTATCAAAAGTGAAAAACATAATGCACTTACAGAGACAGCATACTAGGGGATGTTCTAATACTATGTCAGTAAGGCTCTCAAAAAAGAAGAGATTTCTCCGGCTCTTCAGGAAAAAAGAGGGGGGGGGGGCTATCATCACTAAAATTTAAGACTCTAAGAACAGAACATTTGTCTCACCTGCATTCCACTTATTTCAGAGGTAACAATCCACACCTTCAAGATGCCCGTCACTGAGAGTGCTACCACAGTGTCCTCTAAGTCGAAAGGGACCAAGAAGCCAAGGTTACAAACATAATACTTTCTTTCTAAATAGTAACATGGCTTGCGTTAGTGAAATTAATAGTTTTTCAATTGGCATAAAAGCATAATTCTAAATTTCATGAAATAATAGAAACCAGGTTTTGAAAAGTAATAGGCCACAAATTTGAAATTCAAGGAAAAGTTGTTTGCAGCTACTTGAATTTATTGCTAATCAACAAGTTTTTAATAATTTCAAATGTTCCTGGATCACTATGATTACATGATGATTTAACAAAGAATTTTTATTCTTTAAAATTCACAACTTTTATTATCATGGATGAGCACACTCTATCTCTCGAAGACACTCATTTCCCCACTGTTCCACCTACCCTGCCAGCCTTCTAGACATTTTATGGCACATTAGACCTTCTATAGACTGATCAAGAGAAAACATGATATAAAAACTGAATTCATTAGCCCACTTCGGGGCGCTACCAAAAAAAAAAAAAAAAAACTGAATTCATAAGCTTCAGGTAAGGAAGCAGTCACAGCGCCATGGCAACATACATGAAACTCTGGGAGGAGAGACATTGGAAACAGTCTAATGTAGGCTCCAGAGTGAGGGAAATACATGTGAAAATTGCAATTTCTTTACTAAGCAGGAAACAGTAGATACCTGTCTTAAATTCAATTTGCTTATCTGTACACAAATACAAAAGAGTAAGAACAGTACCTAGCCCAATGGGTTGCTATGATAATTAAGACACACCACAAGGATAGCACTCAGCATGTCAATCAAGATGGGTTATTACTATTATTAAAAAGAACCATTTGCTGTCTGTAAGTAAAAACTTCATCATGTTATCTACTTCTCTAGGCAAGGAAGGCACTGGAATGCAGGAATTACAAGTCATGACCCTGTATGGAGACACTAACGACTGTTCACAAATCTGTTAATTTATAATAAAGGTGGAACATACCAATATATCCAAAATTCTCAAAAGCCCCAAAGACCAGAATAGGTAACTGCAGATTAAAAGTTACATACGTTTACAACATTATAAACTGATAACATTTAGAACTGCATGCACAGCACAAAAGGTTCCATCAGTGACAATCTACCCTGTTTATTAGATCAGAGTGAGTACAGGTGTATTTCATATGGAAATAGTGTAAAAGTTCAAAATGTGCACACTACTTGTTACAAATATATTCTTTTAAAGAAAACATTAATTGTAACTACAATTACAGGTGAACAAACTAATAATGAGTTCCCTCCCGGAAAATGAATCTCATTTTCACTGCTATGCTCTGGAATAAAGCAGTAATTCTCGAATAGGCATTAAAAAGCCTCTACTTAAAGAAGCCTGCTCAATTTTATTTGACTGAACATCTCCCAAATATATTTGACCAAAGACCCCTCCTTTTTCACTAATATCTATCAACAAACTTCAGAACCAATACTTTGAAGATGGGCCCTTGGGAAGTACTGCAAACCCATCCACTCTGTTTCCACAGCGAGTGCTGGACTTCAGACCTGCACCACTCTTGCCTGGAGTATTAAAATCATCTCCCATCTAAACCATTCTCAACAAAGCCACCAAAGTGATGCTTAAAACCTAAGTCCCAGGGTGCCTGGGTGGCTCAGGTCAGGATCTCAGGGTCCTGGGATCGAGCCCCACATCAGACTCCCTGTTCAGTAGGAAGTCTGCTTCTCCCTCTCCCTCTGCCGCCTCCCTGCCCCCTTGGCTCGTGGTCACTGTCTCTCTCTCTCAAATAAATAAATACAATCTTTAAAAAATAAAATAAAACAGAAGTCCTTTCAAGCATTCTTACCAGAGACTGTCCAACATCTATAGGAAGGGCCAGAAAGCTACAGCTCACAGATCAAATCCAGCCCATTGGTTGTTTTTTGTAAATACCATTTTATTAGAACACAGACAGACTAATTCACTTCCGCGCTATGTGCTTTTGTGCCACACTGACAGAACTGAGTAGTTGAAACACGTATCATGTGGACTACAAGACCTAAAATATTTAGTATGTGGTTCTTTACAATACAAGTCTACCAACCCCTGATCTACAGGATGAAACCCAAGTTCCCTAGCCACTACTCAGGCCCTTCCTGATATGCCTCCCACCAATGGTGCCAACCTCAGAGGCCCCCCACTCCTTCCTTCAAACTTATGTTTTATATTTATGAAATATGTCATATATGATACAGAACTCTACAGTAAACTACCCATCACATTAGGGCGCCAAAGTCCTTAAAGGGCATCACACACTGACCTTGTGTTCGGTGAGATCGGATAATACTCATGGAGCTAATCCAGTCTGGAGAGATCTTTGATACTAAGGAGTATAACACCTCAAGGCTGGTGGCATCCACAACAAGGATTTCAGGATAGTGGCCATGGCATAAAAGCCTTCCTTCTCTCTGATTTCCAACAGAAAACTGGTAGAACTAAAAGGAAAAAGAGCTTTAAATGTTCTCCTTGTGAGACTTGATTCAAAGGCACTCGTCACGCTTACTGCACTCAATTTCCCCAGTAGTATTTCCAGACAGGTTCTATATGGTGCCTATTAGAGGTGTCTATGTATGTATATATAGTTTATGTCTGTATAGACATCCAACAAGTTACATTAAAATTTCAAAATATCTAACAAAACTTATTCTTTTCCTAACATCCTCCCTTTTGAATTATTTTGGAGAAGTTATAATAATTCTTCTTTAATTTTCCATAGCATCTAAAACAGATTGTTGACTGAATTCCTAAAACACCTCAGTAAAATCAGCTTCACAAATCAAAGCAAAAGGAATCTTTTCACAAAACAAAGCAAAACATATCAATTTTAGATGAATGGGAATAGGTGGGTAGAAGTTTATAATTACTAGTTATGACGAAATAAAATTTAGAAGATGACTGCTGTTCAAGCATGTTATAATTAGTGGTAAATTCTGATTAATCCAAGTGTGTTATTTCAGACTGAAGTGTGAGACAACTATGTAAATCATCCTCATAATGCACATTTATACTTTGTGGAAGAAACACAGAAGAACCAATACAATCATGATCTACATGTTACTCATCCCAAGAGCAGCTCAAAAGGAAATGATGGGTTTCCACCAACTAAAGAGCAAAGGAAAAATAACTATCAAAACAAAACTAACAAAACTTCTAAAAGCACCTGTCTCCTAAAAGGACCTATCTCCTATCAGCCTCAAAAAAAAGTGACTCTCGGGATCCCTGGGTGGCGCAGCGGTTTGGCGCTTGCCTTTGGCCCAGGGCGCGATCCTGGAGACCCGGGATCGAATCCCCCGTCAGGCTCCCGGTGCATGGACCCTGCTTCTCCCTCTGCCTGTTTCTCTGCCTCTCTATCTCTCTGTGACTATCATAAATAAATAAAAATTTAAAAAATGTTTAAAAAAAAAAGTGACTCTCCTAGTAGAATGATTCTCTGAGGGGATTACAAGAAGGTGAAGACATCTCATCTCTAGACTACTACTTCCCAAAGAACTGGACTCTATATGAATCACATGAGGGCAAGCTAGACAGTGCAAAGCATATTGTAAGTACTCCGCAGCTGGGGAAAAAAACTAAGGAATCTTGATCCAGTCTGTCTGCTCCCACACTCATCAGTCCTGCCCTCAGGCTCAGCATCGTGTATGAAGGAATATGATCTTCTCTCAACTATGGAGTACCCTGGATAAGAAGGATTACAACTTCCTAAACACGGATCACAGAGCACATTAACTATGGGCAAGGTAACACCACTAAGATTCCGAGGGGACAGGGTGTCTAATAAAACGCAGGCAACCACAGAGGAGGGCATCTCTAGATCTTAGAAGGTTGATCCAAAAAATATGACACACAACCTAGAGGTCCCAGGGACTGCTAGGCACTCTCGTGATAATGTGACCATAAGCAACTGTAAGCCATCAAGGAGGAGGAGGGTCAAGGAGGAAAAAATGGGTGCAGAGAAGCCAACTTTGTCAGTATCCACCAACACCAGCCAGGAGACACACGTACACTGTAGTCACTGGAGTAGAGCTCTCCTGGGGACAGGGATATTTTATTAGCCTTGCCTGACTAGCTGCCTCCCACCTTTTACTTTACACTCCCAAATTACCTTCTGACCACGAAATTTAGTCTTCTAGACACCTTCATACTAGCAAAGAAAGTATCCTGAATGGCTGGGACGCCTGAGTGGTTCAGCAGTTGAGCATCTGTGTTTGGCTCAGGGCATGATCCTGGAGTCCCAGGATCGAGTCCTATTACAGGCTTCCTGCATGGAGCCTGCTTCTCCCTCTGCCTATGTCTCTGCCTCTCTGTGTATCTCTCATGAATAATAAAATCTTGAAAGAAAAGAAAGAGAAGAGAAGAGAAGAGAAGAGAAGAGAAGAGAAGAGAAGAGAAGAGAAGAGAAGAGAAGAGAAATCTTGAATGGAGAAACAAGTTTTCCAAATATTAAAAAGGGATCTCCCACGTGATAATTCAGTAGGTTGGCATCTCCTTGTAATTTCTGTAAGTGCCAGTCTTATCAAGGTTTATCATTTCTGCTTATATAAACAACTTGCTCTTGGACCTGAGAGAATGAAGATCACACAGGAAACAACTGTCACACACTAGTGCATCTGTCAAAAAGCATCTTCTACTTAGAGATCGCTGTCAATTTAAATGCAAGACCTAATACAGGATCTGAGAAAGAACAGGCACTAAAAATATGTTGAATAAAGATAATTTTTCCTAAAATTTTAACCAAAAGTTTTTAAATCATGGAATTAAACAATCAAGATATGTTTACATCTAAGGAGTCCAAGACATTTATATGTAATTTTTCAATAAATATAATCTACAAAGTCACTGTCTACCATTTATTATCGCTTTCTCTCTATAAACCCTGATGATTCTTCATGTGACAAAAAATATATAATATATACCCCTTAAATAAAAAGCATATACCCTAACAACAATGAAGAAGCAATTTTTAAAAGGCCCTCACCAGGGCAAGAAATAGTAAAAACAACAACAAAAAAAAAAAACCTTTATTACACAAACCACTACCTCACCCCCAAACATTTTCCACTGCTTTTCTAATTTGTGTTGCCACAAGATTTCTTTCCCAACAAATGACTCCATTTGTTTAAGCAAGGCAGTATGATGTAACCGAAAGAATAGAAAGATAAACCTGATTTGGGATCCTGGAGCCAGGAATGACTCACTGTGAGCCTGGGACAAGTCATTTAATCATTCCTAGTCTCAGCTTCTTTCTGAGTATACTAAAATAGTATACTCCTACTTAATTTGTAAGGATGTGGGGAAGACTAGATGAGATGCCTATACAATATGTGCTCAGTAAAAGCTAGTTTTCTTCTCTTTCCTCTCCTGCCCCATCAAGAACATAAATCATATTTTCTATATAGACTTGTGATTTTCCCAATACTCAATAGAGTAAATGATGCATAAATTGAAGCACAAAGAAACTATTATGAGAGAATAAGAACACCAGGGTGTTCACAGCCGCCGCTGCGCCGCCATCGCTCGCCAACTCCAGCACTGCCTCTAGCTCACCGAGCTCCAGCCGAAGGAGAAGGGGGGTAAGTAAGGAGGTCTCTGTACCATGGCTCGTACAAAGCAGACTGCCTGCAAATCGACCGGTGGTAAAGCACCAAGGAAGCAACTGGCTACAAAAGCCGCTCGCAAGAGTGCACCCTCTACTGGAGGGGTGAGGAAACCTCATCGTTACAGGCCTGGTACTGTGGCACTCCATGAAATTAGACGTTATCAGAAGTCCACTGAACTTCTGATCCGCAAATTTCCTTTCCAGCGTCTGGTGCGAGAAATTGCTCAGGACTTTAAAACAGATCTGCGCTTCCAGAGTGCAGCTATTGGTGCTTTGCAGGAGGCAAGTGAGGCCTATCTGGTGGGCCTCTTTGAAGACACCAACCTGTGTGCTATCCATGTCAAACATGTCACAATTATGCCAAAAGACATCCAGCTAGCACGCTGCATACGTGGAGAACGTGCTTAAGAACCCACTATGATGGGAAACATTTCATTCTTTAAAAAAAAAAAAAAATTTTCTCTTCTTCCTGTTATTGGTAGTTCTCTGAATGTTAGATATTTTTTTCCATGGGGCCAAAAGGTACCTAAGTATATGATTGCAAGTGGAAAAATAGGGGACAGAAATCAGGTATTGGCGGTTCTTCCATTTTCATTTGTGTGTGAATTTTTAATATAAATGCAGGGACATAAAGCATTAATGCAAGTCAAAATGTTTCAGTGAACACGTTTCAGCAGTTCAACTTTATAACAATTATAAATAAACCTGTTAAATTTTTCTGGACAATGCTAGCATTTGGATTTTTTAAAAACAAGTAAATTTCTTATTGATGGCAAAAAAAAAAAAGAAAAGAAAAGAAAAGAAAGAACACCAGGAATATCAGTCAGAAACTATACATTCCTATGTAAATTCTTGTATAAGGCAGGCATATGAAATAGGCATTTCTTCAACAGTTAGAAAGTCAAAAAAGTGTAACCAAGGACCAATCGCACAAGTAATAAACAGGATATGATCTACAAAGTGGATCCATTTGTGTTAATCATGAATGAATCATAAAGGCTTTAGCATGAAAGATTCTATTATTTAGGATCTAGAGGACTGACCCAACTAGTAAAGGGGCTCTCGCCTGGTTAATCAAAGTGGCCAGAAAAAGAAGTGGCAGGGGCAACTGGCTTACCTTTCACCTTTCCTCATTAGTCCCTTCTACTTAATAAGCCCCCCACTATACCATCTGATGAGGAACACTTTTACTACCCCAGTTATACTCTTCTTGTCCTATTACTCACTTCCACCCCATTTTTCATATAAAAATATGGGCTGAATGTTTAAAAAACATTTAATTGTACACCTGTAGTAAGTTATGCTGACTTGAACTGTTATGGAAATAGATACCAACCTGTATGCCTGTATGTGTGCAGGCTAACTTTGTAAACTCAATACATCTGCCATCATTCACATCCCAGAGACACATCTCTCTATAAAACAAAAATAATAGCTAACTTTAAATCTGATTTTTAAAAGCATTGTTCAATTTTGTCACAGTGCTTTAAAGTGAATCTTCCATTAAAACTGATATATTTCAGGAAAAGTAGTGTATAATCATTACTGTGTCTGTGAAAAATTCTGGTCCTCACTCACCATCCCAGTCTCCCCTTCAACCTACACCCCCACCTGGATGCACATTCTTTCTGGGCACAGAGTTGGACTGCACTTCCCAGCTTCCTTTTGGTTCTGAAGCCTCACGAGTAGTTCTGGCCACAACTGATGCAAGGACCTCAAGACCTTTCTTTCTTCTCTGCCTCCATTCCAGACAGTGGCTACTCCTGTTAGTACTGCTCCCTCCCCCTCAACCTCAAAATAAGGATGGTAATGAAGCAAAGTCCCAAATGATATACCAGGGCCAACTGACAAAACCAAGAAATAAACTTTTAATTTAAACCACTGGGATTTTCCATTAGTTACCGGCATAGCTAGAAAATTTAGCACAAAATAAAAATTAAAGTCAACTTAATTCTAAATTTCTGCAAATTAAATGTAATATTCCAATTATAATTCTGTTTATTACATAAGTTTATCAAGTGCATAACATAAAAAGCTTCTTTCTCAAACTACAGACATGACATACAAAATTAGAAATATCAGCATGTCTTTGTCGCTTAAAGAAATAAGTTCTATTTAATGAAAGACATTAATAAAATGCAGTGACACTAATATTCTCAGGGCTTTCTTCAAGGTGCCCTTTCTTATACCTTGTATGGTATGAAACAATTTTTCAAAGGAGGTTCAGTCTTATTTAGAATATGCATGCTAATATGAATTGTCCTTTAATTGACCAACAGGGACTATACTTTTACCTGGTGCTGCCTCTACTTGTTACAGTTACATAAGGTTCTTTTCAAATTCATAAATTATGGGAGGGGAAAGGGGAGAGAAGACCTTCTTAAATAATTCTTTCCAAGTCCCCAACTCTCTTTAATAACATATTATTTTCTATGCATCAAAAAAGTTTAAAAGTTTAAAAACTCCTCACTCTGAAACCTCTGACTACTACCTAATGATCTGTCTAAAAACAAATTATGTTCTAAGACTCAAGAATATATACAATTACATTAGTGTATTAACAAATATGAATACAACATCATGATTTCTGCATGGCTTCATCTTCCAAATTTATGCTAGCCTAGCCATCATTCAGGTTTTTTTAAAACTCTCAAAATGGTCTGCCAACTTAAAAAAATAGAGATTAATGATCAGGCTTTAACCTGTAAGGTCTTTTGAGTTTCTCAAAAGCAAGGCAAAAACATAATCATAAATTATGATAAAAGTATTACAAAAATCATTAACAAAAATTCACATTTATAAAACCATATTTCAAATATCTTTAAGTTTAGATAAATGAAGCATTTACTTAAAAGATACTTCAAAAGAAAAAATTCCCTACTTACTAATACACTGGTACTATTTACAATAAAGACTTATGAGAAAAAAAGCAAATAAGAAAATACTTACCCACTTTCAGATGCACTCACAATATACTGTTTGTCACTAGAAGCACAAGCTTTAGACAAACAGGTGATTGAGGCTGTGTGACCAAACAACAGTGCTCGAGGATTAACCTAGAAATACACATATATGTTGATATAAGTACCAAATTTTTAGAAACTAATTTTTAGGAATCCTGTTAATTTTCAATATAAATATATAGACAGATTTGAGAAGAACTGCTCAGAACACCAAAAACTGAGAGCAACACAACAGCGATCCCCATCCATTTAATGCCCATAATCACACTACCAGATAGATAGTTCTGAAGTCAAAATTGGAAAAGTAACAGGTAACACTATTTGCCCAACACATACAGAGAGTGACAGAGTTAGAAGTCAAACGAGGGCAGTCTTCAGCACTAAACTACAGTGTACAGAAGAATCAGATTAAGAATGACTTAGTAACAAAACAATTCAACACCACTTATTTTTTAAATAACATGTTCATTGACCTGAAAACACATATCTAGAGTCTAGATTAACACACTCAAAACTCAAAAAAAGAGAGGATGGGCACCCTCCCAAATGCTGATAGAAACATTAACTATCAAGAATGAAGAATGACCTTCACAAACTAATGATTTAGTAACATAGTGCCTTACAGAAAGAATGGCTTAATAACCACTACTCTAAAATAGTCTGGCAATCAGCCCCCAAATTTATCTACTTTGTACCAAATGGCATGTTATTACTTCAGGCTTCAGGGCCTTAGGTTATTTCAGGATATATTTTTCAATTAAATATTTAATACACACAAATAAAATTTATAATATATGTATAAGATATAAAGAATATATTAAATAGCCACATACTCAATATCCAATTAAGAGAATAGAATATGACAAAGTCCCCTTATACCTATCCTGGTGCCCATTTTGCAAACAATTTATCCCAATTTATTAGTAAAGCTAAACTGCTCAAAATTAAATGTTCCATGAAAGAGTACTACTGGTATTGTTCTACAGTTCTGGTATGTAACAACTGAAGAGATTTTCCAAATAAAATGCATTTTAGTCATCTTTTGCATAATTACAATTAAGAAAATTTCAATCTTTTTTTTTTTTTGCTTAGTTACATAATATGCATTTTTTCCCTCAAAGGCTAAATTCTTATTCTAATTATTTAAGAATCAATCAGTTTATAGTTAGAATGGGCTTGGAAAGTTTTCCCATACAGCCAAAATTTTCTCATACACCTAACTCCACTTCCATATAGAGATTCAATAATCTTCCACTTAAAACTATGCTCTTGGTCAATTATGTAATTTCTTCCAAGAAAGTCAACTTTACCAATAGTTTTACTTCAAATGTATATAACTTTGTTGGAAAATTCCACTTTCAGCCATTACAACTAGAACTACTTTACTTCCACCATAATCTAGAAAAATAAATATATTTGAATGAAGTATAAACAGCACATGATCATCTTAATAGAGGCAATAAAACTTTTGACAAAATTCAGTATCCTTTCATAATTAAAAACTCTCAACAAAATGAATATAGAAGGAATATATCCCAACTTTATAAAGACTATATATGAGAAGCTCACAGCTAAAATCATACTCAACAGGGAAAAGCTAAAAGCCTTTCCTCTAAGATCAGGAACAAGACTGGAATATTCACTCCTGCTACTGCTATTTAACATAGTATTGAAAGTCTAAACCAGAGCAATTAGGTAAGAAAAATAAATAAAAGGCACCCAAATCAGAAAGGCAAAAGTAAAATTTTCTCTGTTTACAGATGACATGATCCTATATATCCTAAAGATTTCACTGAGAGACTGCTAGAACTAATAACAAATTCAGTAAAGTTGCAGGATGTAAAATAAACATACAAAATTCAATTGCATTTCTATATACTAACAAAATACACTAACAACAAAATATCCAAACAAAATACACTAAACAACAAAATGTCTAAAGGAGAAATTGAGAAAATCACACAAGAGAATCAAAAATAATAAAATACAGTTGACCCTTGAACACAAGAAATCTAGAAAAATCTAGAAAAAGATTCTACTGGAGCCAAAAGTAAATACAGCACAGTCACAGTAAACAAGTCAAAATACTAAAAAGCAATTGTTTTTCTAAGTACTGGCAATGAACATTTGTAAAATAAAACTAGAATATATGGCTTTGCCACCCACTGTCAGATAAAAGAAAAAATTATGTAAATGAAACTTTTTTTACTGTATCTTCATAAGTACAAAGTTAGCTAAAAAGAAAAGTTTAAGATATTTTCATAAATCAACATGTTCCTTTAATGAACAGAAACTTATTCATTAAATAGAAGTTTTCTAGAATTTAAAGAAAAAGATGGCTTTAAGAAATTGCTCTGAATGACCACTAAATGCCAAGCAGAGCAACCAAAAATATATCTAAAATATATCTATGCCTAGTATCAATGCTAAATCACAACTATAAAGACTTAGCATCAGGAAACTACAAGAAAAAATAAGTATTAATATAATCAAAGAGAAAATATATGGTAAATTATATTTATATTTCTTTGTCTCTTTATATTTCACCATATTCCACAAAAAATTGTTACATCACAGTTATTAACTAGATATTTTACACATAATCAGTACAAAGAAATAATCATAAAATAATCTGTTCAGGGCAGCCCAGGTGGCTCAGCGGTTTAGCGCCACCTTCAGCCCACGGCCTGATCCTGGAGACCCAGGATCAAGCCTGACATCAGGCTCCCCACAGGGAGCCTGCTTCTCCCTCTGCCTGTTGTCTCTGCCTCTCTCTTTCTCTCTGTGTCTCTCATGAATAAATAATCTTTAAAAAAATAAATAAAATAAAAATAATCTGTTCAACCAATTCATGAAGACCATCCCTCCCCTCAAGACCACAGAGTTCAAAAGTGACAATTACCAAGTTATCAGAGGCAAGGCAAGATGATCAGAATGAAAATATGTGATGTGTCAGTTCTAAAGAGTAAACAGTAACACCCACATTCTAACCTGGGACCTTGAGACTAGTTCATTCTATAGTCAGCCATCATTCAACACTTTTTTTTTTTTTAATCTCCTTGTACCTTTTTTTCCCTTTCTACTACCGGAGATTTGTTCATTAAATAAATCCTTATGTGCAAGCACTGTGATAACTGCTTAATATGCATTCCTTCACAGAATCCGTACCACAACCTTGGGTGGTACACCATATTTTAAATGTGGCAAGATCTAGACACAAAATGGTTAAGTAAACTGCCCAAAGTCACACTGCTGGATACTAGAACAGCCAAGATTCAAGCCAAGTTTGCCCATCTCCAAAGGTCAAGCTCTTACTTTTACTTCTTTCTTCAATAGCATGGCTGATACTATTCTCTGCATAGATCTGTTTCCCTGATAGAATGAAAGTTTCAAGAAGATAGGAACCAGTCTCATTATATCCTGTAACTTTGTGGGTAATGGAAACTTTTTACAAACATTGCTTGTAAGAGATGGTGTCTGCATCGATAAGTTCCTCCTCTACTCTTATCACCATCTAAGTGCTCACTAGGTTGTATACATTACCTCTGCAATTTCCTCCAGACATTTTACTACCATGTTAGACCAGGGTGCCCTTTTGCATAGAATAAAGGAAATCAAGATATGGATGGCAAAAATTTTAGCTACAGTTTTTAATCCTTTCCTAACAAAGGAAGAGAGGATACCAGAACTTCAGAAAAAGGTCTTATTGGTCCTTCATAGGCATAAATAGCTACTACAAAGTATAATACTAAAGACACTTCACATATTCCAAAGACAATAAACAAGCCGACTTTTATTTAGCTTTCTTTCCCAATGAATAAATAGTCCAATTCTCTTAATATCTTTCAAAAGATATATTTCTCTCCTAGCCCCACTACCACCTCCCCAATACTTCTCACTCTCCCCAGTTTTATCCCTCTTACTTGAACTTAAATAAATATAACACTCTAGTAAAATCTATGCAACAAAGTTAGTGAAAAAATTGTTTCTAAGCTCTCCTGAGTCTTATTGTTTATAATCACTTGTGATATTTTATATAACATATTTGATATAACAACATGTGATTTTTTTTTTCTCGTCATGGCTACACTGCTGATTTACATTTAGTTCGCATCAATCCTCAGGGTGTATCACATTCTATGGCACTTCTTTCCAGCCACTTTCCAACATGTATACCCAGGCCTTACATGTCATTCAAGTGTCATTTTTCCAATTCTAGCTGTTCCATGCCTAGGTGTATACCAAAGAGCAATAAACTCAGATGTCCACACTAAAACTCAAACACAAATATGCATAGCAGCATGATTCTGTATGGCCAAAGTACAAACAACCCAAATGTCCATTAATTGATAAATTTAGTATACCCATATAAAGGAATAGTATTTGGCCATGTAAAAAAAATGAAGTATTGTTAAAATGCTACGATACAGATGAACTTTGAAAATATTATAATAAGTAAAAAGAGCCAGCCACAAAAAACCCACATATCATTCCATACATATGAAATGCCCAGAACAGCCCAACCTATAGAGGAGTTATATTTGGGATATTAATTTGATATATTTATCATATCAAATTAACATCCACACATATATTGCACATTGTAAAAAGAAATAGAAAACAAATTAGTGGTTGCCTTGGGAGGAAATGGGGGTATTGGAAATGATAGCTAAAGAGTACAGGGGGTATTTCCGATGTAATGAAAATGTTATAAATTTGACTATGGTAATGTACACTTTATTTTTTAAATTCAATTAACTTAAACTAAAAACAAAAAACCAAAACAGCTCAACCATTTCTCCCAATCCCACCACCACCTCTGTCAATCACCAATCTGTTCACTATGAGCTTCATTTTTTAAAAATATATGTACATATTTTTAGATTCCATATATATGGATATATATACACGCGTATATATATAGTCGCACACAATTTCTTTAAATGAGCAAATCATATAGTATGTGAATTTTATCTCAATAAGGCTGTAACAAAAAAAAAAAATTACTTAAAAAATCAATTTGCTTGTCCTATATTCCAGGCTAGCTACCACCCCATTTTCTGTTACCCTTTACAGAAAAATACCTAGGGAAAATATCAGAGAGGAAGATTAAAAATATGGAGGGAAAAGGAGAATAAACCCTGAGGTGTTGTGTTAGAATTGGAGGTCTTAGTGTGTAGTGCAGTGTGTATGTGTGTCTGTGTGTATTCCCAATTCCTATTTCCCTAGTTTGTCCACTGAGAAGGCCTAACAGCACAACACACTGTGCACTCCACATTCAGCAATAAACACAATCAAATTTATGCTTTATAAAAAGTTTTGCCCTCTTCAAGACATTCACATTAGCAGGTATAAATGTTCAAAACTATTTTTAATACCTTTGGAAACTTCCTTCAGTCTGGATAAACATCTTTTGAAAAACCTTAAGTGTAAGGGTAGATAAAACCACTGAAAATAGCCAAAAACCAGAAGTCAATCCTGATGAATAATACAAATGATCAACCTGCGTAATAGTAATTTGAGTCAAAACAGATTTCACAGAAAATATATTATGATGCCAAGTGTTACTCTGGGACTACTGTTTTCTATTAAGAAGCTCTTTGTAGCTAAAAAATACAATAGGCATTTCAGATACTCACTTCCAATTCTACTGAAAGATCCCAGAGGCATATTTGTCCATCATGACATCCAGTTACAATTGTGGTCCCATCATCTGTTAAAAGTACTGCTGAGATGCAATGTGTTGGTGCTTTGCGACCCCAAAGAACAATGGGTAGGACAAGGCTATTTCCTGCCATTGTGTTTTCAAACCTGGAAATGTTATAAGAATAAGGTCAAATATTATATTTCCTTCTAAAACATACATTTGTATTATGAATCCAACTTAAACTTCCTGAGTACCAAGAATTCTCCCAATTATATATGACACCCATATATGTAAATACCTAAAATCTCATTTTTATATATGTAAAATCTAATTAAAATCTTAATTCTCACAATAAATCACGCAGTAAGTACTATGGTCACACCTCTCTCACAGATAGACTGTGAGTCAGAAAGTCACAAGGTGAAAAGTGAAATAATGGAATCCAATCAAACCCCGGCAGCCTGACTACAGAACCTATTTTATTCACTCTGCTATGCTACCAATGACAAGTAAGGTCTATAAATCTGTTAGGTCTCCAAACCAATAACAGATGGCAATGTCCAAGAAAAACTCAGCACAGTGAGCTAAACATTAAAAAGAATATGTTCAGTGGGAAACTCATTCAACTATATTTACCACAACCTATTATGTCTCAAGATCATGAATGTCTTTTATTGTAAATTCTGAAACTTGAGGGGAAAAGGATTTCTCTTTAAGTGTATATGGGAGTACATCTTTTGCAGGAGAGAACAAATACAAGGAATTATTCCTTCATATGACAAAAGCAAGATCTAGTTGGTGAAACAACCAGATTTAAGTGTTATAAACTGTGTGGCTAAAAACTAAATATAGATTCAGAGAAGTCAGAGAGAAATGAAGACTGGAATAATCAAAGGGTTCCACAGAGACTGCCAGAACTTTTTGGTTTTTAAAGATTTTATTTATTTAATCATGAGAGACACAGAGAGAGAGGCAGAGACACAGGCAGAGGGAGAAGCAGGCTCCATGCAGGGAGCCCAATGTGGGACTCAATCCTGGGAACCCAGGATCATGCCCTGAGCCAAAGGCAGATGCTCAACCACTGAGCCATCCAATTGTCCCGAGACTACCAGATCTTATGCAACACTACGGGGTCACCTATAGGCTTGACATGGTCAATCAGTAATGGTCACTGTAGTGATTTTTTTCTGCCCCAAATTTTTAAGTGACAACAAACGATATGTGTATACCTATAGACTCTTTAGGATGCTAAGGCTGTCCCATAAAGTTTCCAGAAACACTTAAAGAAAAAAACCATTTCCTATGAAGGAAACTAGTCTAATAGCCATGGTCTTATTGCTAGCTGCTTCCAGCAAGACTCTTCTTTAAACTATTACCTACACTTAAAAAAACAACAACAACAACAACAACAAAAACCATAAAATCGCTTTTAAAGAATAGTCACTGAATGGGGTGCCTGGGTGGCTCAGCCAGTTAAACGTCCCACTCTTCATTTTGGCTCAGGTCATGATCTCAGGGTCCTGAGATGGAGCCTTGCTCTGCCTTGGAGCCTGCTTAGGATTCTCTCTCTCCCTCTTCCTCAGCTCCTTCCCTCCCTCATGGATGTGTGCTCTCTCTTGCTTAAAAACAAACAAACAAAAAGTCACTGGAAAGAAAATGAAGTAAAAAAATCTAAAAATCTATATTACTTAAATTTTTTATAAGACTACATGACTTTCATCAGTTTATATCCCCCAAAACTTCATCTTTTGCCTACTAGTATAAAATATGCATTTAAAGAAAAAAACTCCAAGTTCACTTTCTATTTATCACGTTCACTATTTCATAGCCTACCATGACACATTTCCATATTTCTTTTTTGCATATTTCTATTTGATATTAGGAAATGAAGCAAAACACTAAAGCAATTTTAATAAATCTGGTAGAGCATGTTCCTGGCTAAAAAAAGATACCCAACAATGACTTTTTCTAAAAAGCAATCTGGAAGTAGTTCATTTTTCCATGGTGACAACATTCAGTATCAAATTAGGGATGTGTGGGTGGCTCAGTGGTTGAGCATCACCCTTTGGCTCAGGGTGTGATCCCAGTCCCAGGATCGAGTCCCACATCGGGCTACCTGCAAGGAGCCTGCTTCTCTCTCTGCCTCTCTCTCCCTCTCTGTGTCTCTCATGAATAAATACATAAAATATTTAAATAAATAAATCATATCACCCCAAGACTTCTCTCAATTAAGTAAGATCACAGCATTGAAGACAGTATGATGAAATCTGGAAAGAACACTATTTCTCTAGATATTTGAGGACTCATATTCAATGCATACTGATTTGCTTAAAGAAAATGCAAATATAGAGATTCAGTACTAAGGAATATGCGTGCTATGTGGAGATGGGCCAGCTCTGGTGCAACACGAAAAAACATTCTGATATTCGAGTGACAAGGCAACTCAAGAAAACCTAGAAAAAGAATGCATTTTACAGCCCTTAAAACATGAGAAAATAATCATCCATAACATGATAAAGGTATATACTACATCATTAGAAAACACATCATCAGTCTCTAATTCAACTTCTCCAGAAGCTAAAATAATTACAAAGATTTAGATAAAAAACAAATCCCCAGCATCCTCCCCAAAATCAAGAACTAACAGTCAACCAGAATCTGAGAGGAATTCTCATTAAGGGCAATGAAGGATTTTCATAAAGAACTGTATTAGTTTCCTAGGGTTGCAGTGCACACAAACTGAACAGCTTAAACAACAGAATATATTGTCTCACAGTTCTTGAGGCTAAAAATCGGAAGTCAGGTATAGGTAGGATTGGCTATGAAGGGAAGGATTTATTCCAGGCCCCTCTCCTTGACTGTAGAAGGCCATCTCCATGCTCACATGGCATTCCCCCGTGTGCACATCTGTCTCTGCACATCCATCTCCAAGTTTCCCCTTTTTAATAAGGACATCAGTTATACTGGATTACAAACTAACCTGATGACCTCATTTTAACTTGAATACCTCCATAAAAAACCTATTTCCAAATGAGGTCATATTCTGAGGTCCTGAAGGTCAAAATTTCAACATACGATTTTTAGGGGAATACAATTCAATCCATAACAGGGACGTATGCTTTTAAAAGAACATAACCTGGGACACCTGGGTGGCTCAGGTCATGATCCTGGGACCCTGGGATCAAAGCCTGCATGGGCTCCCTGATTGGCATGGAGTTTGTTTCTCCTCCTTCTGCTCCCTCCCCCACTCACTCACACTCACTTTCTCAAATAAGTAAATAAAATCTTTACAAAAAATAAAAAATAAAAGAACATAACCTAAAATTAACTCATTACCCAAAAAGCAATTCTCCCTTAGGAAATAATGGTAAAGTGGGGGTCCCCGGGTGGCTCAGCGGTTTAGCGCCTGCCTTTGGCCCAGGGCATGATCCTGGAGACCCGGGATTGAGTCCCACGTCGGGCTCCCTGCATGGAGCCTGCTTCTCCCTCTGCCTGGGTCTCTGCCTCTTTATCTCTTATCTCTCTCTCTCTCTCTCTCTCTCTCTGTCTCATGAATAAATAAATAAAATCTTAAAAAAAAAAAGGAAATAATGGTAAAGAACTTCACTATATCTTTTCCAGGAGACATTACATCAGCTAGTTAACTGCTTATCTAAGGAATACGTGAGAAGTCGGTCTAACCAAGGTAAGCAGTCACCATCTTATGTCTTATGTTGGGGACGGGGGTGGCAGAAACCAGATTCCAAAATTCACTGCTATATTTCAAAGGAAAGTAGATGGTAAAAACTAATCTGTCCTGACCCATAGATATACATAACCTTGTCAATGGTCGTTAAATTATTCACAGTGCTACTTCTTGATTGGTATATAAAAAAATCTAAATAGAAAGTATTTGTTAAGTGAAATATTAAAAAAATAAATAATCATAAAGAATACCTGAAATGAAACATGAAACTGTAGTGGGAATCACAATCAGTAGTTGTTATTGATGTGTCTTGCTGCTGGGATTAGGGTAGTTCCATCAAATGCAGAATAAGCAGAATCAATTTCTAAATAAACAGTAATTAATCAAAAGGGCTTGGTGACCAACAGGAAGAGGGTATCAAAAAAAAAGGAAAACATACTTTCAGATCATGGCTGGGGCAATTGGAGTGGAGGGAGGCAAAGTCTTATTTATAGGATTCAGGTGAAGAAGTAGGTTTGTACTCCTGGGTCTCAGAACACACTTGATATTAAAACCTCCTAGATAGGAGAGTATTAAATAAAAGTTGGGGGAAGACTGTGGAGAAATGGGCTTGGGAAAATGTTCAAAAGTTGGAGGCAGAAAAGACTGTCAAGGACATTTTGACAGTGGCTCTGCTATCTCTTGCCAGACAAGGAGACATCCTTACTGTGTGAGTTCAAAAATAGGAGAGCTAAGCCTTTCCAACACTTCTCTAACTCTACACTAGACATTTTGTTATGTAGGGAAAATAAATTTCTACAACTTTAAGGCCACAATTTCTAAGTTTTATTACACATAAATATATGATCTTCCTCAATGCACACTCAGGTAACTACTCCCCCAAGTTTGTAAGAATAACTCCCTGGAATACATGACGTAGTAAGAAGAATGACAAACAATTATATAAAGGAAAAATGTTAAGACTCCTAGAAAGGAAGGGGTGGCTTTGTTGGAGGTGAGATGAAGACAAGGAAATAAATACAACCATCATCTATGGCCAAACTCCTTCAAACACCAGCAGAAGATAATTAAAATTCATCATTAGCTAAACAACATGTGAAAGATGAACCTAGATGGTTTAGATAGCTCACTGTACAATGTATATATAGTTCAGTTTTTATATAAATCCAATATATAAAAACTAGTCTTGCTTAATTTATGAGAATTCAAGAAATTTCCTCACCAGAAGAACATACCAGTATTTCTTTTCAGCACTGAAATATGCTTGTTCTTACTCTGAAGATTCCTTTGGATATTCTAGGTTCTCTTAACTTCCATACAAATTTAAAAATCAGCTTGTAAATGTCTGCAGAAAAGCCTAATGAGATTATGACTAGAGCTGCATCAAATTCATTTATCAATTTGGGGATCACTGAGCCATCTAATTTCAATGAAATATTACTAATGCAAAAGTGTACTCTAAAAGCAATCTTAGGGATCCCTGGGTGGCGCAGCGGTTTAGCGCCTGCCTTTGGCCCAGGGCACGATCCTGGAGACCCGGGATCGAATCCCACATCGGGCTCCCGGTGCATGGAGCCTGCTTCTCCCTCTGCCTGTGTCTCTGCCTCTCTCTCTCTCTCTGTGTGTGACTATCATAAATAAATAAAAATTAAAAAAATAAAAAATTAAAAAAATAAAAGCAATCTTACTTGGGGCACCTGGGCAGCTCAGTCAGTTAAGCATCTGCCTTCAGCTCAGGTTATGACCCTGGGGGTCTTGGGATCAAGCCCCACACTCAGCAGGGAGCCTGCTTCTCCCTCTCCCTCTGCCTCTCCCCCCACTTGTGCTCTCTTGCTCTCTATCTCTCAAATAAAATCTTTTTATAAAGTAAATAAAAGTAATCTTACTTCTTAAAAGTATGTAAGGTCAAAATAGTACATGTAGCTTCTTAATGAGATGTCACACTCTTATTTCATAAAATAAATCAATGTAACCTGGTCCAACAAAGTTAACCAACAGAGAAAAATCAAATCAAAATCAAATAATTTTGTGGCTCTCTCCTGAAAGGAGAAGAAATTCTTCCTATCACTTTTCTAAGAGAGTAACACTTTTCTTCTAGAAAACAAAAAGTTTAATAGAGAACAAACTGATGGTTATCAGACAGAGGCGGGTGGGGAGATGGGTGAAATAGCTGATGGGAACTAAGGACCATATTTGTGATGAGCACTGGGTGATACTGGGAAGTGTTGTATATTGTATATTGTATATATTGTATATCTGAAACTTACATTACACTGTATGTTAACTGACATTTAAATAAAACTTTTTTTAAAAAAGTGAATTACTAGGAAGAGAAAACAAAAAAAGTAGTTTATGTTAAAAATACTAACATATCTACTCACGCGAGGAGGAAGAAACACTTTAAGTGTATTATATACATATATATATAAATAAAACTAAAAGTCATATACGCTAAAGTGGACATGTGCCTAATGTATGAACATCTTTAACTTTGAAAAACTTTTTTAGGGGACAGTAACATATTCTCTATTGAAACAAATTATAAGATCATATTAATTTTTCTTAAGAGCTTACAATTCCCTGTAGCATACACAACAAACACATTCTATTCATGATAGTTTGAGACTATAAAATCCTAACTTGAATTTCAGAATAAAAAAAAAAAAAGATGTAGGGGTGCCTGGGTTGCTCAGCGATTGAGCATCTGCCTTCGGCTCTGGTCTTGGTCCCAGGTGTCCACCTTCAGCTCAGGGTATGATCCCGGGCCAGGGATCCAGTCCCACATCTGGCTCCCTTAGAGGAGCCTGCTTTTCCCTCTATGTCTCTGCCTCTCTCTGTCTCTCAGGAATAAATAAATAAAATCTTTAAAAAAACAAAATCTGGCTTAAAATTACATTTAGAGGGGATCCCCAGGTGGCTCAGTGGTTTAGCACTGCCTTCGGCCCAGGACGTGATCCTGGAGACCTGGGATTGACTCCCACATCAGGCTCTCAGCATGGAGCCTGCTTCTCCATGTGCTTCTCTCTCTCTCTCTCTCTCTCTCTCTCTCTCTCTCTCTGTCTCTCATGAATAAATAAATAAAATCTTTTTTAAAAAAAATTACATTTAGAGACTGGCTATTAAATTTAAAAATTTTTTTTAAGATTTATTTATCCATGACACACACACAGAGGCAGAGACACAGACAGAGGGAAAAGCAGGCTCCCTGCAGGGAGCCAGATGTGGGACTCGATCCGGGAACTCCAGGATCACATCCTGAGCCGAAGGCAGACCCTCAACCACTGAGTCCACCCAGCCATCCTTAAATAAAAATTTTTAACTGATCAAGCTTTACAGTCAAATATCAGGAGTTCTAGATTCTACTTCTCATTTTGCCAATAATCATGTCTTTGATCATATCATTTTTAAGGCTTAGTTTTCACCCCAAGAGTTATTTATAAAATTAATTCTGAATCCTTCTGAAGTCAAAAAAAAAAAAATAAAAATAAAATCGTAAGAGCAGAGCTCTTGGGGCACCTGGATGGCTCAGTGGTTGAGCATCTGTCTGCTTTGGCTCAGGGCGCGATCCTGGAGACCCGGGATCGAATCCCACATCGGGCTCCCTGCATGGAGCCTGCTTCTCCCTCTGCCTGTGTCTCTGCCTCTCTCTCTGTGTCTCTCATGGATAAATAAGTAAAATCTTCAAAAATAAATTTAAAAGGGCAGGGTTCTTAATTTTTACCTCTAAGTCATCTCTTTTGGTTGCTTTAATTTCATGTATTTCTCTATTTCACTGAACTTCCTCTATTTCTCAGTTCTGTAGAGAAATACAATTATACTTCAGTCAACAACAATAAAAATAATCATAATTGAAAGAACACTGAACTCACAATCAGAAGAACTGTATTCAAATCCTGGCTCTTCTATGGAATCTTGACAAAGCTGCCCCTCTGGGTCTCAGCTTCCCCATCTGTAAATGATGGACAATAATATCCTCTTTTAAGAAAGCTGTCCTAATGACTGAGAGAAACCATACATGTAATACAACTAGTGCAATACCTGCACATGGCAGATGCTTGTAAATATTTTTTAAAAACACAGACTTTGCTACTTCTTCACATTCTGCTTCCACATTCACTGGCTTCTTCCAGCACTGCCATTTCATATTTAATAAACTTGGATTTTTAATAAGGTTATGATCTTTCAATGACTTTCTGCTATAACATAAACTACTGTATATGCTTGTCAGACACAATTCTATTATCTGCAAATATGATAATTCAGTTCTGCACTTTATTAGAAGTAATGCTACAAATTCCTACATGATACTAAAATAGCTTTCAAATTAAATTCTGTCTCATAATAACAATAATTAGTATACATTTTAAACAGCATTTCCCAAGTTTTCATTCTGTGCTCATAGCATAGCATTACAGCAGTAGATAAAATAGACACAACTCAGCTACCCAGTGGGACTTACACACATGGAAGCAATTAATTACCACAGAGTGTGACAGAGGAAAAATCTCAAGACCTGTGGAGACACAAAAGATAGATATCCTAACCTGTACTTTCACAGATCCAGGAAGGATTCTTGGAAGAAATAATGGTGAGACTGAGAAGGAATTAACCCAGGAAGAGGTTCAGGAAATCATGTTTTAAATCCCATAGGTAAGGGAGCTCAATTCTTTCTCGACAGTGAAAATAGTGGAGTTGGCGTTCAGAGCACAAAGGTTGAATGAGGAGACAAGAAATAACAGGTAAATATGCACCAAATCATAAAGGACTTGATAAGCCGTATGAAGGAATTTGGAGTTAACTTGACAGAAATAGGAAAAAGGTCAAGTGTTTTAAATCTGAATTTGTTTTTCAGATCACTGTAGCTGCAATACAATGGCTAGGGATAAAACTGGGTTTGATGACCAGCGGGGCTACCACAGTATTGCTGGTAAGCAATGATGGTACTGAGGAGCACCTGGGTAGGCTCAGTAGGTTAAGTGCCTGCTTTTGGCTCAGGTCACAATCCCAGGGTCCTCTGCCCCTTGCCCCTACTCATGCTCTTTCTCTCTCTCTCAAATAAATAAATCTAAAAAAAGAGAGAGAGAGAGAGAGAGAAGGAAGGAAACGATAGTACTAAAATTTATCACAATCTCTCATCACTTAATTTCTGTGCTTTTTTGTTTAATGAACAAACAACTAACTACTCTGCCCTGCTACTCTATATGCTCGTGTTCCCTAAGATCAAGAGCCACAACTGTGTATTCACCACATAATGTTTATGAGCATAATTCTGCCATATAGGATATCTTTAATAAATATATAATATAAGGTAGTGGTGAAAATGGCAATAATGAGATGAATATGAGAGTTCTTTTAGAGATACAATAGATAGGTTTCGGTGTTCAGCACACAAAGTTGATAAAGATGCAATATGGATTTTGATATAGGTTTTACACAAAGTTACTATAAGGACAATAGAAAAAAAGGCATTTTGAAATATTAAAAGCCCTCTATAAAGGATAAGCACTATTATGATACAGATACCCAGTGAAGTCATCAATTCAGATTCTAATAAATGAGACAAATTATTTCACACTTAACTAGAATTTACTAACTATAGGTTTTGAGAAGGGAGAAGATACTACAAGGTTTCACATTAGTCTTGAGCAGGATCAGACTAAAGAGACTTAGTGGTCTCATAAGTAGATCTCTAAATAGAGAAGTGACATGCTAAAACTGTGGCATTGTATAAAGTTCGGATTAACATGGACAACACACTGCAGACAGGGAAACAAATATGATGCTACCACAATTAGCCTGGGTGCACAGAGATAAGAAGCTTAACTAAAATTATGAGTTTTAAAAGAAAAAGAAAATACAAGATAATGAAGAAAAATAGTAAATCATGGAGTTTAACGCAATGTGTAAGGGCAGAGGCAAGAAAAAGACATGTGACTGTTACTTTCTAAAACAGTGAGAAGAGGGAGGAAACAAGCATAAGAGGAAGAAGGGAAGTGATAGCATAAATGAAGCAAAAGGGGAACAGATGCATCATCTGGTCTCAGAGAAATTAGAACTCAGAAAACATTTTCATAAAATGGCAGCAGAGAATTCAACAGAACGCGTCCACAGGAGCGGTAAAAATGCAATCACCCTTTGCCTGTATCAGTAAACTAAGTCACTGAAAGTTGATGAAATGTGGGTCTATCTCCTGGCTTTGTTTTTGACATTGAAGCTAACGTAAAAGAAAGGCTTTTATAGTTGACGAAGAAGAAGAAGAAGAAGAAGAAGAAGGAGGAGGAGGAGGAGGAGGAGGAGGAGGAGGAGGAGGAGGAGGAGGAGGAGAGGAAGGAAGGAAGGAAGAAGAACAAGAAGAAGAACAAGAACAAGAAGAACAAGAAGAACCCTTCCTAATTTAAAAATGGAGAGGATATAGCCAATTTACCATCTAACAGTTTGTATTTTGGTGGTATTTAGGTCAATTGGTAATTCTCTCAAAATCACATGGCAAACTGATCTCAAAGCTCAAAGGCATATACAGACCTCCTGATTCCTAATAAAATACTCTTCACTTTTTTTTTATAGATTTTATTTATTTATTCATGAGAGACAGAGAGAAAGAGGCAGAGACACAGGCAGAGGGAGAAGCAGGCTCCACGCAGGGAGCCCGACGTGGGACTCGATCCCAGGACTCCAGGATCATGCCCTGGGCAGAAGGCAGGCTCTAAACCACTGAGCCACCCAGGGATCCTACGTTTAAGTAGGCTCTATGCCCAACATAGGCTTGAACTCAACTCTGAGATCAAGAGTTGCATGCTCTACTTAGCCAACCAAGCACCCCTACTGTTTCTTCCCTATTCTCTATGATCTTCATTTACTGCAAACTTCCCTATACCAGAAAACATCATTCTCCAGTAGCCTGGTTAATCAGTGTGTTTTATTAAATCAGGTTACTCAAAGAACTGTGGTATTCATAAAATGATATGATGTCTGGGCTCAGCAGAACACGGGAGAGAGAGAGAGGAAATGGGGCATATAAGTAAGATGTTTAAAGGGATGAAGATGAAACAGGATCATAAGTGTGAGGGATGGGTTTGTGGGGTTGCTTTCACTTTTTGTGTGTAGTTTTTGGGTTTGTTTTTGAGGGAGGGAGAAAGCACAAATGTGAGCTGGAGTAGCATGGGGTGGCTGGGGAGGGGGGAGGAATCCCAAGCTGACTCCCTGCTGAGCATGTAGCCTGAGATCAAGACCTGAGCGGAAATCGAAATTGACTCGGAATCTTAACCATCTGAGCAACCCAGGCACCCCTCCTGGGTTGTTGATACCAAAGTAGTCCCTAATAAACCGGAGTACTTATCTCCATCTCCAAGTCTGCTCATCAGAGAACTCAGGCTATAAAAATAAGGGTTGAAGTTCTTTTTAGCATTAAGAGGATTCATTACATTATTCTACTTGTGTGTGTTTACAATTTTCTATAATTTTTAAAGGATACATAGAAAAAACTTTAATATTCATCGATTAGAGGTTAAATATGATAGAGCCTTACAATGAAACACTGCTGTATGAGATATAAAATAATCTCCAAAATATATAGTAGAGAAAAAGGTGTGGTTCAGTGTATAAAATACACTCCAATTGTGGGCTTCACAAGGAGGCTATATATGTATCTATATATACGTTTTGAAACCTATGGTCTTTGACTATTTCCATTTCCTTACTACAAAAGCCCTCATGTAATTGAGTCTCTATCCTCAAACAAGATCTAAGAATCTTAAGATCTCCCTCTGCAGGAAGAGATCAACAATTTCTCTAATGTGACACTCCAGGGCAGAACTCTCCAACACTAGAGAGAAGCGATGCCCTGGAAAGACCTGAGGAAAGAGAGAATGCTTTGACATTAATGGACTGTTGACACCTATTCTTTCCATTCTCTCTAAATCCAACCATCTTATTGAGTCCTTACAGTCTAATAAGGCTGCTAGTTTGACATGGCTGATCACTTGCTAATCGATTACTCAACCCTCTCCCTTCACCTTCTGGTTCAGTTCTCTTGCAATTATTCTCTTCCTTTTTTTTCAGCTTTCCGCTGCTTAATATATATAAGATCCTAGAAAGCCAAAGAAGAATTCAAGGAACAAGGGAAGATCTTACATCCCTGTGTTTAATTAGATCTGGACTATTTAATTTGTTCTTTTAATAAAAAATTTAGGACAAAATTTATTTTCGCCTTCTTATGACTCCCAACTTTTTATTATGAAAAATTTCAAATGTATAAAAGGTTCAAAAATAGTATAAAGATCACTCAACAAATGCCATATTTCCCTTGTTATTTGTATATACATACACATATATACATACTATTTTGCTAATCCACTTGAAAATAACCTATGCACATCATGACAATTTGCCACTGAATATAGAGCTGAAAAATAAAGAGCATTCTTCTTCATAAACACAATACCATTATCACAATCACCATTATCAACACCATAATAATTCTCTAATAGCACCTACTATCCAGTCCATATTCAAATTACTTCAACTGTCTAAAAATGTCTTTTGTAACTTGATACCAAGTTACTGTTTTAAACCAGTAAACATTCAAGTTGTATGCATCAAATGTGGTTATGTCTCTTTAGTCTTTAGTTCTAGAGTAGTCCCAACTTTTTTTTTCATTTTAACTTTACAAAACAAAACAAAATCAATTACTTATAAAATGTTACACGTTTTAGATTTATGTGATTTTTTTATGATGTCATTTACCTGGTTTCTCTATCTCTAATGTGCCAGTAAACTGGTATTTGGATCTAAAGGCATCATTAGGCTCACATAAAACTTTTGGTGAGAATACCTCATAAGTGATCTTGTATGCCTCACACTACATCACCACAGGAGGAATGTACATCACACTGTCCTATACCATTCAATTAAGGTACTGACTGCCAGATATTTCCACTCTTTTTTTTTTCC